AAAAAATAAATTATATATATATATATATATATATATATATATATATATATATATATGTCCAACTGATATTTAGATGCATTTTGTGTAAGTAGTCTGCTGTGCAGTTAGAAAGATTTCATCAGAATTGAATAACAGCACCAAATTGCATATATTTTCTCAGTTTGGGCCTCATACTATTTTTGCCATAAAAGCTTAATGTATCAAAAATGATGCTCAACAAAACGCACACCTGCAAACATTTTTAGTTTTTATTGTATATATTATTATTATTTTTTTTAATATAGATTTAATAAATTGTGCCATTACAAAAAGGTTTAAATAAATGTGTTAGCTGGGAATTTGAAGTGCACTTCTTCTTTTTGGAATGTCCACACTATTTATACTATAAAATGGCATAGGATAGTGCACAAGTACACAAATTGGGACACACCTCTTGTTTTAGCCAGATTGTAAAGCAGAATCGCTTGTGTCCTTCACAGAGAAGACAATCCCAGAATACAATAGGATAAGTTCACTGGGGGGAAAAAAGAAGGTGAACAAAACAAGGGTGGTTTATATTTTATAAAATGCCGGAAATTATTGATTATAAATAGCCCAGTGTTCATCCGATTTGTATGTGTGCTGTGTTTTTATGATTATTAAAGAATTGCACTGAGCAACATGCTAACATCACGCTACTGAAATCGATGGTGTGGTGGCAAGCGTCCTGTGCTATTTGCAAGGTGTGCACAATTGCTGACTGAGTAGAGCATTCTGAATCCATCACTTATTAGCTTCCATAACAGTTAGGATGCTCCTTCAGGAGGCAGCTGCCTATGTGGGCTATGGAAAGCAAGGTAGCTCATAGTAGGTTTTGGAACAGAGCTTTTGTATTTAAATAGGTGAGTTTTGCACAAGCATGTCTATGTGCAAGTCTCTGCATATATCTCCATGACCCTGTCATTGCTTATTCCCAGTTTACCTTGCAGCTCTTCTGCACTGAGTGCTTTAATAACTGTAATGCTTCTCCTGCAGGGCAGGCACTCCTCTCTGCTCTGCACAGCTGCTAGTGGGGAAAGAATAGCACAGGGTGGAGATCATTGATCTCAGAGCTGGTGAAGAGGGACAGACAATCTCTGCATCTCATATTTTACAAAGATAGATGGGGCTGGGTCACATTCAGTCGATTAATTTATCTGCTAATGTGAATCAGAATACTGCACTGGTGCTGGTGCTTTTGGGACAGTATGGAAGTGAGGCTAATCTTAGACAGGAGCCTTCAACATGGATCTTGACATGGATTTTTAAGCTTATGTTTATAGCACTATATTAATGTATTTGCATTATTATGATGATTACTTTTAAATGTGTTCAAATACTGATTATTGATATATAGATTCATACATTTATTTCAATATAATATATCAATGTCCAAATACTAGATATCACAAAATTCAACAGCATGAATAATTGTCCCAAATATTCACAGGATGTTTCCACCTCAAGCCATTTCTTTCAGAAGACTTTCATAATGGAGTTCATGGCTTGGTGAATCCGACTAGTCAAAGGCTGAAAGATGACAGAGCAGGGGACTGTGAATCAGATGGGAATTGAAATCACTTGTGAATAAACTAGATGACTCATGCAGTATTCTGTTATCTTCCTTGCTTTCTCTCTCCATCTCTCCATTTCTCTCTCTCTTTCCATCAAACTGTTTCTTTTTTCCCTCTGTTCCCTCACTGGCAGTTGCAGTGGTCAGAATACTAATAACCTCTGCTGTGTTAAGCAGTCTGACCCCTTCAGTCTCTTTGGGGTAGCTACAGTTAATACCTCATTGAGAAATACACACAATTAAATAAGAACATTACATAATGGACTTCTGTTATTTCAGAAGCTAATTATAATAAAACAAATTAAGCCTGATCCAATCATTAACTGTATTCTCGAAAGAAAACACTTACATTGTAAGATTGTAAGATAAGACATGAAGTTATTAACGTAATTTCGGGAGGAGTACGCCCATCTAATCTTCCAATTAATATCCAAGTATAAAAGACAGCCTCTTACCACTTCCGTTGTTAGTTCTTTCGGCATCCCTCCTCCTCCCCATCTCCTCCTTTTATGCATATTTATTTATTTATCTTTCTGTCTATAGGGGGCTATCGGAGCTGGAGTAGAATAGACATCAAGCCAAATCTGTTTACCACTAATGCTAAGATTATATGGGCACACAAACTTTTGAATTTATTTATGAACCATTCTTCCCTTTAAATACATCCCCAATGGTGATTTTATAAGACTGATCAACTTTCAGGGAACATTTTTAGCAGGATGTTGTCATGGTTGCAGTGTAATTGACCTTTTGCAGGGAGTTTGATTGACAGGCAATCCGGCCAATCATAATGCTGAATCTACCAAACTGTTGATTTGGCCACTCCTAATGTTCCTGCTATCTCTCTGATGGATTTGTTTTGTTTTTGAAGTCTAACAATTGTTTCACTTGTATGGAGAGATCCTTTGACCACGTGATGTGGGTTCACAGCAACAGCTTCCAAATGCAAATCAACTCCAGACCTTTTACCTCTTTAACTGATATAGAAAAGGCGAAGGAATAGCCCACATCTGTCCATAAAATGGCTTTTGAGTCAGCTGTCCAATTACTTATGGTCCCTTGAAAAAGGGGGGAGGTACATAGAGCTGTAATTCCTTAATCTTTCCTCCAAATGTGTGTAAAGCTTAGAGTGTGCACTTTAAGCCCATATTCATTATATAACTGTAACTTGATTATGTTTTGGTCAGCAGCTAAGATAATACAAATTGTGCCTGTGTCCAAATATATATGGACTTGACTGTATATGTCGTGATACTGAAAATATATTTTTTTATCAGCTGTTTGCTTATGAGAAAGCTAAAGTTTAAATGTTTAATTTTTTTCAGGAATCATATTGCAATATAAAATTCATACAAGATAACATAATATCTTGACCCCCCCACCCCCCATCTCTTTTTCTTAAATTTACATATGCCTCATAGGACCATAACTCTTCCTTGCAAACACATTATTCATAAAACAGGATCTATTAGAGAGCCCCTAACGTTTGGCCCCAAACAATCTTCACAACGCGCCTGAAGACACAGCTCTTCTCTAAACACTTCATTATCTTCATATACATCTTCAATAAGGCATAAATAATCTCTTCGTTCTCCATTTTATTATTTTAATACTGTAAAGCTGCTTCAACATGATCTACATTGTAAAAAGTGCTATATAAATAAGGGTGACTTGACTTGACTTGACATTCAAATCTTCAAATGAACCCCATAAAAATACTGATACATGAATAAATGTGAAAGAATACAATATTTTGGGTGGAGGATACAGTATGACTTATGTTGTTTGCTGACCAATGCTATCATTGTCCATGATTTACAGGGCCTATTTGTCTCTGTCCACATGTCTGTCTTTTCTCTTGGTTGTCTTTTCATCTTGTTAGCTTGTCAGCAATCTCTCTTCATGTCCTCCTCTATTACTCCTGTTGGTTTGTGTGTCGTCTGTTGTTAGAGAGGTGAGGTGGATGGGCTGTGAGATGCGATGCCATTTGGGCAGATGGCTTTATTAGAGCTCTGTTGAGAGGGTGAGATTGAGGTGGGTTTATCTGACTCTGCTGTTTAGATTAGGCTGAAATGTTGCCAGGTCTAATTGAAGCAGGGATGTGTGCAACAGAGGGACTGATGAAATGCCATGGCAAGACTTGCTAAAAGGGCCTTATTTATGTTCTATCTGTCCACTAAGTTACACACATATTTTTGTATGTTACAACTGTAACGCCTGTTTCACACATGATTCATTTGCAGTGCACTTTTATGTGCACATATATGCAACTGATCCACAGCTTCTTTATACCACAAATAATCTATTCATTCACCATGATTTTGATTTTAAATCTAAATGTTGTTGAAGTTACTGAAAAGGCTTATTCAGCATTGTGGACAGAAGATTTTTTATAATATAAACAGTCAGAAAAGGACCTGAAGGTGGAGGATGCCAGGACCTGAAGCTAAGAGCAACACAGCACAATAATACAATCTTTGATAGATATATTAATGTTTAAACTCAATAAGTATACTGTAAAAATTTAATATACCATTCATTACTTCTTAGACAGATTTGTATATTAAGTTGCTCAAGCAAGTGGCAAAATATTTAAACATGGTACTTCTTTATCTGAGCTTACAATAATTTGCTCTCTGTCTCAAAGATGTATATGTTTTGTTGTTTGCTTTGGCAGTGAATAGGGTTACATGGTAGATTATACGCCATTTTCAGTGCAATGTCAAATGTCATTGTTGTTCATTAGGCCTAGTAATAATCTCAGCTAGAACAGCCAAAGCATTACATTATGTTGAGCAATAGCTGTTCCAGTCAATTTTTCATTTTGGAGAAATTGATATTTGAAATCACAGACACTCAGTTCTCATGATAGTGTGGTTTTATTGCGTTTGTGTTGGTGCGATGAATTGGATAAACTGTATATCATATACCAGCAAAAGGATGATTTTTAATTTGAAAAACTACAACTTAAGTTGGAAATATTATACATAACAGAAATTAAAAGTATTTATTGCAGGTAATTTATGTACATAACTTGACAGAGCTTCATTGTGTTCTTCCGTTAAACTGCTATCTTGTGTCAGAAGTAAAAAAAATAAAAAAAGCCTAATCTTGCTTTTATGATAATGCTTTCATAATTCATTCAAAATGCTTTTATGAAATGCTGTTGTTGTTAATTATTTTCAGTAATTTTCTTTTTCTTTCTCTTTATTCAGGGCCATGCTTAGATCCGCTGATCTCTCCGCTCTACGCGTCCTCTTTCCATGCTTCCTCCAGATATAACTTTTTTTACTCTGCACACTTTGCCAAACTGTATGGTAAGTGACTACACCACAAAAAGCAGATACATTGTAAGCCACTACAATTACTAGCAGACTGCTGGATGGGTTCCCTTTTGAATCAAAATATCTTGCTTTTTGTGAATAAAAGCATTTGTAACTATATCTGACATTACTGAGATATGAATAGAAAAGAAAATAATATAGTGTATGAGTGAAAGTAAATGTCACAAATTCATTTGAAACAGAGCTAAGTGCTGCACTAAATGCAGATTTCTTCAAGACTGAGCAAGTCGTATTGTCCTGTAATGTTATCAGTATGGTTTTTAGGCAGCAGAACAGTCTGTAATTTTATTTTATTTTATTTTATTTTATTTTATTTTACCTGTCATTAAATCTGGAAAATAAGATCTGCTGTAGACATACACATTTAAATGAGGGATTCTATAGGCATAAATTTAATTGATTGGTGGAGAAAAATAACAATTTGAACTTTTTGCTTTATTTGAAGTGCCAAAAACACACAAGGGATTTGGGAAATTTATCTTTATTTTCCCCCAGAGGAGAACTCAAAAATACAAAAATAATGTAGAGTATTTAGATTTTTTTTCAATATCTATCAATTTATGAATGCCCAAAATAGGGACCAAGGCCCTACCAACTGTAATGGTTCCTGCAGCAGCCCATGAAAAGAATGGCTCAAGAATGTTTTTTTATTAACTGAATTTCTCAAATGTTTGTGTGATGATGCATTTGTAAGTAACTTTGGATAAAAGCATCTGCTAAATGAATGAATGTAAATGTGATGAATTAGGGAGCAGCGGCTGGTCTCCGTCCCCTCGGGACAGGCAGCCATGGATGCAGATTGACTTGGGGAGGAAGTATCGTATCATGGCCATTGCTACTCAGGGTACCTTCAACTCTTATGACTGGGTCACCAAATACATGCTGCTGTACGGGGACCGATTTGACGCATGGACTCCATATGTCATGAAAGGAGGCAACATGGTAAAAATAATCTATGTTTTATGAGTGTTTGTATGATTTGTGCTGATCAATGATTTTGATGTTTGGTGGTTCAGGACAGGTCAAGAGGTCATGCATTTGTATCGTTTTTGACTCAGAATTTAGAGTTTACATAAGTTTTTGATGTAGGATTAGTTGTTGGTGAGAGAAGCGGTTTGTTTGTTAAATGGTGAGTAACATTCATAGAGCCTCTAATATCAGATTTTTGTGTCTCTCAGACGTTGCCTGGCAACTGGAATTACTACCAGGTGAAGAGGAACGTCTTTCATTATTCGTTCACTGCCAAACATCTGCGCATCTATCCCATGGGCTGGAATACTGAGAACGGAGGCAAGATCGGCCTTCGCGTAGAGTTCTATGGCTGTCCTTACGGTAAACAGCACACTGAGTTACTGGCAACAGTTTATGTTTTATCAGTTGCCAAGAACTTTATCTTAACATGATACAGAAAATCTCCTCAGTGTTTTGTAATGTTAACCGACCCTTTGAGCTGTACTGCAGAAAATAATTCTTTAATCAGTATTTTGGTCTTGTTTTCCAGTAAATATATCCATGTGCTTAAGAAGTAAAATGGCATAAGATCATTTTCAGAAGTAAATTTCCGACTGAAAGGGAACATACTATATCATTTTTCTTCTCAAGTACTTTGTATCTTGTTTCAATGATTTGTAAATATTAATACTGGAAATCATGAGTTTCTGTGTGTGTGTGCAGTGTGCCAAGCAGAGTATCATTTAAATCTTAATATCTTTGCACTGCAAAAAATAACAATAACAATACTCCGGATACAATATCAAGCACTCACACCTACTGCCTGTTAAGCTTATGGATTAATTGAATATTCATTTGTAAATTCAACAGCTATGAACATGGCCTTATGCTAATTTATGCAAACTAGAAGCAATTAGGGAGACACTGTGTACCCCTTGATGATCTGGGTTCCTGCCGCTCATCTAGTAGAACTAGACATACTGGTTTGTCAATTTTGTGTTTGGTTTTTAAGATGAAGAACATCTTCCAATACAGTTTTTGACAGTCTTCTTCTTACTCTTTGACCTTTGACCCTAACAGACTCATATGTGATGCAGTTTGAGGGGGATGACATGGTGGCATATTCATTCCCACGTGGCAGGATGAGGACACTTCAGGACCACTACGCTTTAAACTTTAAGACCTTGGAAAAGGATGGTGTTCTCCTGCACAGTGAAGGTCTGCAGGGAGACTCCATCACTCTAGAGCTGAAGATTGGACGCCTCTACTTACATATCAGCCTGGGTAATGATGATAAATCTATCTATCTATCTATCTATCTATCTATCTATCTATCTATCTATCTATCTATCTATCTATCTATCTACAATCACAGGACATGTATTTCTGCTATTTTTCAGGGAGTAGCACTGTCCATGACACCAATGGGATGACCACAATGATGCTGGGAAACCTGCTGGACACTCAGCACTGGCACTATGTCACCATCAAGCGCTACGGACGAGAGGTTAACTTCACCTTGGACAGCCAGACTGAGACTGCTGTCCTCAACGGAGAGTTCCAGTACCTTGATCTGGACAAGCAGGTGTTGTGTTGGATTAATCACATAGACTATTAATGCACACTTCACTAAATGACTCGCATTCGTTCAGAAGATTTAAATGAAGAATCAATGTTCCCTGCATCCTGATCACAGCAATTATCCATATCTCTTTAGATTTATGTTGGCGGCGTGATTGAGAAAGACGTGCCCCATCTGCCCGGTAAGGTTAACTTCCGTGCTGAAGAGCTGAAGGTTGGACGCCTCTAATTGCATATCAGCCGGGGTAATGATGATAAATCTATCTATCTATCTATCTATCTATCTATCTATCTATCTATCTATCTATCTATCTATCTATCTATCTATCTATCTATCTATCTATCTATCTATCTACAATCACAGGACATGTATTTCTGCTATTTTTCAGGGAGTAGCACTGTCCATGACACCAATGGGATGACCACAATGATGCTGGGAAACCTGCTGGACACTCAGCACTGGCACTATGTCACCATCAAGCGCTACGGACGAGAGGTTAACTTCACCTTGGACAGCCAGACTGAGACTGCTGTCCTCAACGGAGAGTTCCAGTACCTTGATCTGGACAAGCAGGTGTTGTGTTGGATTAATCACATAGACTATTAATGCACACTTCACTAAATGACTCGCATTCGTTCAGAAGATTTAAATGAAGAATCAATGTTCCCTGCATCCTGATCACAGCAATTATCCATATCTCTTTAGATTTATGTTGGCGGCGTGATTGAGAAAGACGTGCCCCATCTGCCCGGTAAGGTTAACTTCCGTGGCTGCATGGAAAACGTCTTTATCAATGGAATCAATATCATCTACAAGACACAGTACCAGGAGCCTGAAATTCGACTAGCTCCTAAAAAGGCATGTTGAGATTTCCTAAAATTCACACGACCAACAGCAAGAGCATAGTGTGGGGTGAATTATTAAGAGATGTAGAATCACATATTATGTCACATTTGGATGACCATTGTATCGCTTTTGCAAAATATTTCTGATATGTATATTTGCATCTTCTCATCTGCCTTTCTTCAGAAAAAGATGCATTATACTTGCCGTGATCTCCTCTGGAAGCCCATGACCTTTGCAGGACCCAACAACTACCTGCAGCTCCCCGGCTTCTTCCGGAAGAACCGTCTGGCAGTGAAGTTTAAGTTTCGCTCATGGGACTACACAGGCTTATTGATGTTCACCAGGTTTGCAGATGAGTTGGGCTCTCTGGAGCTGGGCCTCAGCGAAGGACAAGTCAACATCACTCTAATGCAGCCTGGAAACAAAAGATTACGCTTCGCTGCAGGTATGATTGAGGATTGTGTCCATAGTTTTCGTTGTGACATTTTGAACTCTGTTTCTATAAGAGAGGACTGAATGGAGCCCTTTAAGACCAGGAGTTTAGCAGAACCAACACCAGATGAAATATTATATACAGTACAGTAAATATTATCCTATTTTGTCTTGTCTCAGGGTACCGTCTCAATGACGGCTTCTGGCACTCAGTAGACCTGACTGCCAAAGACAACTTATTAACTATCACTGTAGATGAAGATGAAAGCTCACCACTGAAGATCACCAACCCCTTCATGGTTCGTACAGGAGACCGCTATTTCTTCGGGGGTAAGTAACAGAATATAAGGAGCATTAGTCTGTTATGATTCAATGCCACATGACTAAAACTGAGTGACACTCTTCTGTAAAACTGCCTCAAAAATTACTGTGCAACAATGTTAATGTTTGCAATAGTATGCATGTTTCATCTGTTATACATAAATATACACACGCCATAAATGCTACATTAATGTTTCTAATCTATACTAAATGTGAATGTATTCAGTGCCTTTCAGTTGCATAGCAGATAACTAGATACATTTTTCATGTCTGATGTGCTGCAGGTTGTCCTAAGACCAATAACACGGCACGCTGTGTGACCAAGCTGTCTCGCTTCCATGGCTGCATGCAGCAGATCTTTATAGATGATGAGCCGGTGGATATAGATGTCATGCTGCAGAGGAAATGGGGCAGATATGCCGAAATCCTGCTGGGCACCTGCGGAATCACTGATAGGTGTGTGTTTTTTGTTGGTGGGTTTTGCCAACACTGTCCTCGCAATTATAGAAGATTAGGGTTGATTAAAATACAAAAATACAAAATTCTTCTTTTGTAGGAGTCAAGTATACTTGTAGGACATATCAGGAGCTCAGCTCTATAAAAACAATATATATCAATGGGAAGTCACCACCATAATCTGAAAACTAGCATGCATGTGTGGGATATAAGTTTAGTGTTTATTTCTTACGTCAAAGTCGAATGTCTTAATCTGTAATAGGCAATCAGGATGAACATAAGACAAATGAAAATGTAAAAAAAAAAAAGATTCTGATACTATTTGACACCAGTACAAATATCTAAACATTCCTAAATCAATATAGATTTACTTTAGAAGCTATGAATGACTTCTTTAGTCTTGTTTTCTGAGAAACAAATCAAAATGATCTGAAACACGAAAAACTCTGTCAGTGGGGTAGGACAGTAATCTTGTTTTGATAGATTTTTTGAAAATATGAATTAATATTTTCACAAGTAATCGTATCTTGATTTACGAAAATGTAAGTGTTTGTACTGGATTACAAAATAAAAATACAAATAAATTTTTTTTTTCAAAGTGTCAGTTATTGTCAAAAATATGAATAACAATAATACAAACATACAATCATATAAATACTCATAAAGGAGAAACAAAGCCTCACAAAGGAGAAAAACCAGATGGATTTAATCACTGATAAATCATAAGATGAATAAAAAAAAAAACCAGAAAATAAATTTGTATTCTGGTTTTGATCTGAGAATATAACTCTCAGGTTGATTCATCTCATATTAGTGTCATCTGCAAATCATATTTTGTACAATATGCAACAACGGTATTGACAAGAAAACATGACATGTAATATCTTGAAACGTGCATTATTAAAATGTCGACCGTCTCTTGTTTTTTTCTCAGGTGCAGTCCAAACCCTTGTGAACATGAAGGCAGGTGTATTCAGTCCTGGAATGACTTCCTGTGTGTGTGTAACAACACAGGCTACAAGGGGGAAGTTTGTCATAACTGTGAGTGTCCTTTATTGAGGAGATTCCTCTGTATTGACTTTTTGTTGGTGAAACATGAGAATTAAGCCTCTCTCTGTCTCTCTCTCATCATCTCAGCGGTCTACAGGGAGTCATGTGAGGCCTACAGACTGAATGGGAAGTACTGGTCAGGCAACTACACCATAGATCCAGATCTGAGCGGACCACTGAAGCCTTTCACGGTCTACTGCAATATGTGTATGTATGAAGCAAAACAGATTGATGTGTGGAAAGCAATTTAGAATGATTTTTCACAACAAGCTGAGGTTTATCCTATAATATTTTTAGTGCAAAAATCATGGACCGTTATTGAGCACAACCGCATGAAAAGCACCAAAGTGAGCGGCTCCACCATGGATCGACCGTATATTGGGAACCTCCAGTATGTAAATGCATCGTGGGATGAAGTCACTGCCCTAGCAAACACGTCTTTATACTGCGAACAGTGGATTGAGTTCCTATGCTACAAGTCACGCCTCCTCAATACTCCACGTAAGTTAAAAAGTTTGAACAATGACAGGTGGAAATCAGTATGTGGAATATCTTTGGCCATTTATAGCCAGTGAATGAATGGGATAATTCACTCAAAAATTTTAATTCTGTCATAATTTATTTACCCTCATGTTCCAAACCCGTATGAGGTTAATCAGTGCTTCTCAAAATGTGACTTTCTAAAGACAATCCTAGCAACTCTAAGTATGTGATTAGTCCATATACAACTCCTGCATTCTGTAGCTATATGAAATATTTTGTGTAAAATTTAACTCATTACCCACTGAAATTCTTAATCTCTTGCAATCATCAGCATTCGTGAGGCAATTAGCAATGACTAATTCATGAACAAATCATATTTTTGAGCTGGATCTTTTCAATGAATTGGTTAATGCAGTACACAAAACTGGTCTGAATAATTTGTTCACAAATCAAACTGGTCTGGTGATCATTTGGTGATTCAAAATCTAGTCATAGCAGTTGACAGCTCACTAGAGGTACATAGTAAGTAGAGTATTTGAGTTAGTAATGACTGTCCAGTAAAGACAGGGAATAATGATACATTTATGATGTTTCTTCTTCTTCTTCTTCTTTTTTAATTGCATTTATTTTTTTATTTTGGTGTTTGACATCCCCAATCCTAATTCACTTTTATTATATTCAAAAGAGTGGACAGTGTGTTATTCAAAAACCTTTAGCATTCCACAGTAGAAATGAATGTATTTAAATGTTGCGTTACAGTGTACTCCATAAGCAGCCATCACTATGTAGCTAAAATATAGCGTAGTAGAATAAGAAGGAACTACAGCTGTGAATTTTAGATGGCTGTTGAAGTATTGATCTAAGCTAGGATCTTAGGGGAATCAGTGCAAAAACACTAGATGGTGTGACTCAGCTGAACTGCCAGGAACTTGAACATAATTAGTGTCACTGACCTTCTCAGCCTTTTTCTCTGCTGAGTAATTATAGGAATCGTATCAGTCAGCCTTTACCATTCAAATGAGTTTACGTAGTAGGGCTCAGTCGTCATGGTCCCCTGCTTTGTGAGACTGGCTTGCCTACAATAGGTATGCAGTGTTTCTTTGGTTTTATTTATTGTTGTAAACAGATGGACGGCCTTACACTTACTGGATTGGTCGGCATAATGAGAGTCATGAATACTGGGGAGGAGCTTTCCCTGAAAGTGGGAAATGTGGATGTGCTGTCAATCAAACTTGCACTGACTCCAAGTACTGGTGCAACTGTGACGCAGACTACCGTCAATGGTGAGAATGAATAAACAAATTAAAACAATTTTTTTATTATCTAATCATGCTTTTTATGATGTCTGTATGGTGGTGTTATATATTATTAAAGATAGAAAATAAATGGACCTCAGGGAACTGCACTATGCATGTACTATTTATATACCATACTATATTATATGTATACATGGCTGTTTAAATGCTTGGTGTCAGTAAGGGTTTTTTTTTTTTGGAAAGAATTTCAAATAAATGCTGTTCTTTTGAACTTTCTATTAAACAAAGAATCCTGAAAAAAATGTGTCTCACTTTCTACAAAAATAAGCAGTGCAGTGCAGTAATAAGAAATGTTTCCAAAGCTCCAAATCAACACATTTAATATCATTTCTGGAGGATCATGTAACACTGAAGACTGGAGTAATGATGCTGAAAATTCAGCTTTGACATAACAGGCATAAATTACATTTTAAAATATATGCAAATGGAAAACAGTTATTATAAACTGTACTAATTTTTCACATTACTACAGTTTTTTTAATCAAATAAATTCAGCCTTGGTGAGCAAAAAAGAGAATTCCTTCAAAAACAAATTCCAAACCCGTATGAGGTTAATCAGTGCTTCTCAAAATGTGACTTTCTAAAGACAATCCTAGCAACTCTAAGTATGTGATTAGTCCATATACAACTCCTGCATTCTGTAGCTATATGAAATATTTTGTGTAAAATTTAACTCATTACCCACTGAAATTCTTAATCTCTTGCAATCATCAGCATTCGTGAGGCAATTAGCAATGACTAATTCATGAACGAATCATATTTTTGAGCTGGATCTTTTCAATGAATCGGTTAATGCAGTACACAAAACTGGTCTGAATAATTTGTTCACAAATCAAACTGGTCTGGTGATCATTTGGTGATTCAAAATCTAGTCATAGCAGTTGACAGCTCACTAGAGGTACATAGTAAGTAGAGTATTTGAGTTAGTAATGACTGTCCAGTAAAGACAGGGAATAATGATACATTTATGATGTTTCTTCTTCTTCTTCTTCTTTTTTAATTGCATTTATTTTTTTATTTTGGTGTTTGACATCCCCAATCCTAATTCACTTTTATTATATTCAAAAGAGTGGACAGTGTGTTATTCAAAAACCTTTAGCATTCCACAGTAGAAATGAATGTATTTAAATGTTGCGTTACAGTGTACTCCATAAGCAGCCATCACTATGTAGCTAAAATATAGCGTAGTAGAATAAGAAGGAACTACAGCTGTGAATTTTAGATGGCTGTTGAAGTATTGATCTAAGCTAGGATCTTAGGGGAATCAGTGCAAAAACACTAGATGGTGTGACTCAGCTGAACTGCCAGGAACTTGAACATAATTAGTGTCACTGACCTTCTCAGCCTTTTTCTCTGCTGAGTAATTATAGGAATCGTATCAGTCAGCCTTTACCATTCAAATGAGTTTACGTAGTAGGGCTCAGTCGTCATGGTCCCCTGCTTTGTGAGACTGGCTTGCCTACAATAGGTATGCAGTGTTTCTTTGGTTTTATTTATTGTTGTAAACAGATGGACGGCCTTACACTTACTGGATTGGTCGGCATAATGAGAGTCATGAATACTGGGGAGGAGCTTTCCCTGAAAGTGGGAAATGTGGATGTGCTGTCAATCAAACTTGCACTGACTCCAAGTACTGGTGCAACTGTGACGCAGACTACCGTCAATGGTGAGAATGAATAAACAAATTAAAACAATTTTTTTATTATCTAATCATGCTTTTTATGATGTCTGTATGGTGGTGTTATATATTATTAAAGATAGAAAATAAATGGACCTCAGGGAACTGCACTATGCATGTACTATTTATATACCATACTATATTATATGTATACATGGCTGTTTAAATGCTTGGTGTCAGTAAGGGTTTTTTTTTTTTGGAAAGAATTTCAAATAAATGCTGTTCTTTTGAACTTTCTATTAAACAAAGAATCCTGAAAAAAATGTGTCTCACTCTCTACAAAAATAAGCAGTGCAGTGCAGTAATAAGAAATGTTTCCAAAGCTCCAAATCAACACATTTAATATCATTTCTGGAGGATCATGTAACACTGAAGACTGGAGTAATGATGCTGAAAATTCAGCTTTGACATAACAGGCATAAATTACATTTTAAAATATATGCAAATGGGAAACAGTTATTATAAACTGTACTAATTTTTCACATTACTACAGTTTTTTTAATCAAATAAATTCAGCCTTGGAGAGCAAAAAAGAGAATTCCTTCAAAAACAAACAAAAAAAATCTTAATCAACCCTAAACTTTTGAACAGTAGTGTATAAGTGCAAGCTAAATATGAATTGATTATTTTAAAGGCTAATTTCTATTCTCCAGGCACTCAGATAAGGGCTACCTGTCGTTCCGAGACCACCTGCCTGTCAAGAGGATTGTCATAGGAGACACTAACCGCACTGGTTCAGAAGCGCACTACAGTGTTGGGGCACTGTACTGCCATGGAGACCGTGAGTAATGAATGTTACAAAGAAAAAGTCTTTCTGACATGTGAGTAAAGGGAAATGTACAATCATTTGATGTATCACAAAATAAACACAAAGCAAAGCAGCTTTAAATGACCCGAAAGGGGTTTATTTTGATGGTTGACTGAACATGATCCTCATTAACACACATATAATTACCAAATAACGAAAGTAATTAGCATAAAATGTTGATTTGAGTAATTCTACTGTATATCTGCACTGATTTGTTATTGGGGAAATCCTTCTCTTAGGGAGTATCTGGAGCACTATAGCTTTCACCAAGCCCACCTATCTGACGCTCCCCACCTTCAAGCCCGGCATCAGTGCTGACATCACGTTCCACTTCAGGACCTACCGAACTAACGGAGTGTTTGTGGAAAGCTCAGATGACCACCTGCGTAATTTCTTACGAATTGAACTCAATTGTGAGTGTTGTTTCCATGGCAGAGTAATTGTAATTCCCATTGTAAATCCTAAAAATATATGCTGTATATCTACTGATTCTGATGTCTCCTTCAGCAGTTTCTGCTTAAATTTTCACAGCTACAACTGAGGTGGTTTTCATCTTCATGGTGGGTGATGGGATTAGAAACGTGACCCTGCGCTCTCCTAAACCTCTCAATGATAATGAATGGCACTATGTAGAAGCTGAAATCAATGTGAAATTGGCACGTCTCAAGGTTGATTTCCTGCCTCCGGCCATTCACAAGTTTCCGGGCCAAACCTACATCACTATGGAGTTCACTCAACCCCTGCTCGTAGGTAAGAATTATAGAGCTGGAGTTTCAAGCAGAGTCATGTGATATGAAAACATTGCTTTAGGCAGTTGATACCACGCATCTTTATTCAGGGGCGGCCAATCACACCTTAAGGCCTTTTCTGGGTTGTCTGCGTGGGCTGAGGATGAACGGGGTGCCTGTGGATTTGGAGGGTAAGGTTGACGAGAGGGCTGGCATACGTAGAAACTGCACCGGAGCGTGTCTGAATGCCTCCATACCGTGTCGAAATGGAGGCCAATGCATTGATGGCTACGCTTCATACGCCTGTGACTGCAATAACACAGCCTTCGACGGCTATTACTGTCATTTAGGTGAGGTTAACACACATTTGCATATGCTCTCTCACACTTATGCTGGCACAAATTGACATGGCGCAAAACCGACTACAGTTGTTTCCTAATAAACGTGCAAATTTGAAATGATATCTTTTCATCTTCATCTGGGGAAAGACTAATTATTACAAACGCATTTTAATTTCATGAAACCGTGATTAGGAGATTTAAAGGATTAAAACTGATTCAAGTGAACGATAAAAATTTGAGCAACAAGCTAACTGGTGCCTCTGAGAATCTGTTAAAGAGAGATTCACTGCCTGAAAAAGAGAGAGTGACAGACTTTGGCTTTTGTGTCCACTTTCCATTTTAAGCATCTAAATCCAGGCTAACAGAGAGGGATTTGTCTGTTCCGTGAATTAAACTACATTTTTTGATAGTCTGTGTGGGAATATTTAAGATCTTTGTATTTGAGCTTAATTGTTTTTTTTTTCTCAATAAATCTTAATACACTCACCTACAGGATTCATAATGTGCTCATGATTTAAGTCATAAATATATATACAGTATCTTGCTACAGATAAATCTTAATACACTCACCTACAGGATTCATAATGTGCTCATGATTTAAGTCATAAATATATATACAGTATCTTGCTACAGATAAATCTTAATACACTCACCTACAGGATTCATAATGTGCTCATGATTTAAGTCATAAATATATATACAGTATCTTGCTACAGGAATATAATTAAATCTACAATAAATTAGTAGAGCTGTCAAAGTTAAATGAGTTAAGATGCAGTTAAATAATTAAGCACCCATTTGTCAGTTAATAGAAAATTTGATTCTTTACACAACAAATTAAATATAATCATCAATACAAATGTTATTGTGAGTTAAATGATTCAATATCTCTTAAAACAGTGGCTGCATACAATTTGCATAGTATTCATAAAACTGTAGCACAAATGACCCATTACTCAGATTACCTACTATTGTCCAGTGGACACTTATCTATCCCATGAGGCCACAGTTGATGTTTTGTAACTGGCTATGTAGTGATACAACTGATGCTGGAAGGTCATATGACAATAACAACATGTTGAATGTAGAAGATCCAAATTATTTTCGTTCTACATACATTTATACTATATAGAACATACTTTCAGTCACAAAGTAAGTACTTATTCAGAAAATGTACCTCCTGAGAGAGTATGTGATTTTGGATGCAGCCAGTCACTTGTTTTGTTGCCAAATAAATCAGTGTTTTTGAACAAACTGGTTGAGTAAATGATTCAACGACTCAGGACCGAGTTTGGAACAATATACTAACAAATTACTCTTACTATTTCAGTTCTGAATTCAGCCTGTCACTTGTTTTGTTTCTGAATGAATCGGCATTTTGAATAAATTGATTAAGTGAATCAGTTAAATGACTCACTCATAAAGACATTCAATTGTCTCCACCTACTGGTGTAACTATGTAACTTTCAGAAAGAGTCGCTGTAAAATCTGGACCTGACAAACACAGATTAAAAAAAAATATCCTAATATTTTTTAATTGCAATGCTACTCGAGCAGTCAGATTCAAGGACTGGATTTTTTTTTTCTTAAGATTTTCACCCTTTCCGATTACATTGACTCTCACACTACACAAACTGTTACACGTCACCCTGGACTATTCCCATGCTCCATTGCACTAATCACAAGCTCACCTGAAACCAATCACACACACTACATAAGCCACACTCAAACCATTACAGACTGCCAAGTATTGTGTGTGATTGGTTTCAGGTGAGCTTGTGATGTAGTCCAGGGTGACTTGTATCAGTTTGTGTAGTGTGAGAGTCAATGTAATCGGAAAGGGTGACCTCTGGTGGCAATCGGACGGAAGTCCATGGACAGGATTCGTGACAATGTGATTGCATATATTTAATGTTTCTCTACTTTTCTCTTTTTGAAAAGGAACTGAAAAACACACAAAAAAATTATATTCATTGTTATTAAATCACTTGACAGCCATGATATTACGATTTAAATCCCACACAAGTATACAAACTTAATACTAACTTCTTGTACTAAAATATAATACAAAATGTTACAAGTCTATTCTTTTCGAGTCTAAAGACGTGTTATTATGATAAACTTTCTCTATCATGTCCATTTTTTTTTCTAAAAGTTAGTTACATCAGCATGTGTGAGGATTGTCCGTGAGACATGACCTGACATAAACAACACTGTGATCTCTGCTTGTGTCACATCATTTTAGATATTGGGGCATTCTTTGATGTGGGAGCGTGGTTGCGGTATGACATCCGTAAAGAGCCGATTTCCTTTGACGCATGGTGGGCGAACTTTTGGATAGAGCCTCACTGGCACAACTTCACCCTCGGCTACAACACGACAACTGATGACATAGAGTTCAGCTTCAGCACTCTACAGGCTCCAGCGGTGCTGCTTTATATCAGCTCCTTCAGCAATGATTACATTGCTGTACTGCTCAAGAAAGATGGTAAACACACACAATCACACCGAAGCATACAAAAGATTAGCTTTAGCACTGATGTCACCACCTTTGCAGGGACTCTTTCGCTGAGATATCGGCTTGGGATAATAAGCTACAAATTTAAGTTGACTGACAGAAGCATGGCCGACGGCTTCCCTCATTTCGTCAACATCACCCGACACAACTACACCATATGGACACAGGTAGGATCTCAAACTAGATCAAACTAGATCTAGAGTTATTAGCATAGCAAAAGTGCACTGTTTGTGTGTGTATTTGCACCTGGATCTAGGTGGATTACATGGATCCATGGATTGAGAAGTTAATACCAGGAGAGATTCCCAGATTTGATTCACCAAAGTCTGTATTCTTGGGTAGAGTCATGGGTAAGATGAGCATATTTATCTTAACTTGTTGCCTGTGGATAAAAAGTTGCATTTAATAGATTGATCTGATTTCTTTTCTTCTTCATAGAGGTGGGAGGTGTCGACTACGAAATTCAGAGGCACAACAGTCCAGGTTTTATGGGCTGTATATCAGGGGTCCGATATAATATTTTTGCCCCGCTGAAGGCTTACTTCCGACCCAATGTAACCAATCCACCGGTGACGACTCAAGGCTATGTGGTGGAGTCTAACTGTGGGGCGTTTCCCCCTGTTTTAGGATATGTCCCTTGGGAGGATGACCCCTGGTTCACTGGCCTGTGTAAGACTACATATCCTGACATTCGCATGATTGCCTTCTAACATACACTACGGTTCAAATGTTTGTTTGTTTGTTTTTTTGAAAGAAATTAATACTTTTATTCTGAAAGGATACATCAAATTGATCAAAAGTGACAGTAAAGACATTTATAATGTTACAAAAGATTTATATTTCAAATAAATGCCGTTCTTTTTTAATTCTACTCATCAAAGAATCCTGAAAAAATGTATCAAAGTTTCCACAAAAATATTAAGCAGCACAACTGTTTTCTACGGTGGCCGAGAGAGCTCAATGCGCTGCAACTTAAGAAAACACATGCAAATTGAAAAAACACCAGCAAATTAAGAAAACATCTTCATCAGTTTGACAACACACTCGCTGCAAATCCTCACAACACATGCAAATGAAGAAACGCGCTGCAAATAGCACGGACCACAACGGAAATGTTTCAAGGGGACCCAAAAAAGTGGCGGACCTGGCTGGGATTTGTTTTGTGCAGTGGCTTTTTTTTTTTTTTTTTTGAGTTTCTGCTAGTGATTCCGTATTTTTTATTTATTTTTTTTTTTATTGAAGATATAACATTCACAGGGGATACAGTCATAGCAATAAATTACATACACAACCAGAATACAAAACAATAAATATATAAAGAATAATAAAAATGAAATATAAACAGAACAAAA